TATAAATAAGGCAAATTCCACCTCATTTAACTACTACTTCAAGAGAGGTACTTTCTATTATTATTTTAAATCTTTTTATGTGCTCCTATGTATTTTTTATCTGTGATTGCATGTTTTAAGTGCTTTTTCTTGTATTTACTCATTTAAAATTTTTATTTATTATATTTAATTTTTGATGATTATTTGGAGGGCATTTAAATGCCAAATTGTAATAGATAAATGCTGAAAAATGTATTTAGTTAGGCTATGTAATAGATAGATTTTATTTTTGCCAAAAAACATAATTAGTTAGATGAATGTAATAGTTACATTATTATTTTTCAAATTCCCTCCTTAGATTGTAGTTAGGACCCCAAATATAATAGTTAGGTGTTTATATGCTTTTATTTGCTTGTGTGCTTGCATGCTTATGTGCTTATATGTTTATTTATTTTTTTAGGATTTTACATCTAAATATCATGTTTAAGTGTTATGTGCTCTATGTGCTTTATGTGTTTATTTGATTTAATAATATTTTATATGTTTTATTTATTTATAATCAGTGCATGACGACATCACACTAATCCAATGCTAGTTGTGACCTTTCTCCCCATTTTCTTACTAGTCCAATATTAGTGAGGACTTGTAGGAATAGGTTAGTCCAATGGTAGACCCTTTAGTCCGTTTTCGCGCTAAATTCATACATTGTGTGGCATTTATTACATTTCATGCATTTTTCCTATTTTTAGGTTATTTTCATTTTATGATATTTTTCCTACTTTTATTCCCTTACCCTCTATATGTTTGGACCATATCATATAAAATTATATTTCACTTTAAGAAATTAGAAATAGATTAGTCCATTTGTTTGACTAGATTGAAAGAGTCACCCTTCAAATATGGGAAACGAACGAGTATGACTTCTTAACCTTAACACGCTCTTATTCCCTTTATAAAAAGAAAAATTGAGTCACGAATTTTAACATCCTGTACCTGTTATGTTGCATTACCCCTTTTCTAGATCATGTATATTTATCTATATATTATAATTTCTTTTTGAGTCTTATCTTTTGTATTTTTCGTGACCTCTTCTAAGAATAATTCTTGGGCATCACAATTAATGTGATTTATACCAATTAAATTTTAAAGAGACATTTCGACCTTCCCGATATCCTTTTAGTCTAGATTTGCATCCATGTAGAAACATCCAAATGTGATAAGTTTTATAAATTAGATTAGGAAAATTTTTGACTAAATCTCACAATTAGTCTTGGTTAGATTGAAAGGGTACCTTAAGTTTGAATCTATCAAATTTTTGTCTTTCCTTTCTTCAACTGTAACTCCCGAACTTTTTTCTTTTGTTTTCAAAGATCTGGAGTCGTCTAAAAGGGATTCTATTTGTTTATTTAAAAAATATATTTTAGTTAATTTGGTACACCTAAACTCAATATCAAATGATGACTCTACTTTTTTTTTTTCTAAAAATACTTTTTAAAACTATTATTTTGGGTACAAACCGTTGCATTTTCTAAATCTCATTTTAGGCCCTTCTTTTTCCTTTATTTTCTAAAAATATAAATTCATTTTTTCAACACTAAATTTATTTTTCAAAAAATAAGGGCATGACATTTGATGACTCCACTGGAAATTTTAGTGAATCCAAGCACTTGGTTTAATTGATTTTTTTCTTCTAATCTTTTTACATATCACATTGGGGTGTTTTAGATTGCATTTTTCTTTTTCTTCTTCTTTTTCTTTTATGGGATCAATGGCCCTTCACCTTTTAGTCTGAAGGTTTGGGAGTGTGAAACTTTATTGAGTGTAGATGCATTAACGAGTTCAATTTCATGCATCTATGTTAGAAATCTCCTAGAATAGAGTCGGCCTTACCCTATTAGAAATATTAGACACAAGGGGGGAGATTCTACCCCTGTTTCTCTTCTTTATCTTTTATTCCTGTATCATTTTATTGCTCCAACGTGTTATATGAACTAACCTCTGTTTGTTTTCTCTTCTCTTGCATTCATAAACTTTAAAAATAAGAGTTCTGACATGGTACTCGTTTAGGACAGACCGCCTTTTATAAAAAACATGTTTAAATTTTAGTTATTGCATTAATAATACGTATATATTGCATATCATTTTAGTCTTACCCCCGACATTTAAATGGGACACCTTTAGGTCATATTCCAATTATCGTATTTTATATTTACTTGTTTTAATAAACTGTCATCATGCATCAACTATAGAGAGAATGCCGCATAAGGGATCCCATGATAGAAATAAGCCATCTTGTGTCTCAAATATCTAATCCAGTGAGACTCGTATGTTTATAATTTTATACTTCCTAAGGGGTAAAATCCCAAAATAAGGTATAAAAAAGTGAATTTTTTCCAAATAGTTCCTTGTAGAGTGCTAGATCAAATATCTCGAGAACTAATCGATTGAAAAAATAATGTCGCATGAGATGAAAAAATTGTTCAAGTATGTGGGGTACCTACCAAGTCTTCTGAACATGATGTTTAATGTTGCAATCATCCAAACTCTACTTGAGTATTGGGATCCAGAGGGTTCGATTTTTTGGTTTGGTGAATGTGAACTGACATTGACTTTGAAAAAAATAGAAGAACTATTGCAAGTACCAAAAAAGGTCATCCTATTGTGTACCCAATTGGTAGAACGAGAGAGTAGTTTTGTAGATTTTTGGAATTGAGGCAAAATAGCATGGACCGACATCCGGATGCAAAATCATACCCGTTAGAGTTCCTATATAAGCGATTTAGGCAAAGGGAATCCTATGAACAGTGCCACACTGATTTCTTCATAAGGAACAATAGGAAGAGAAGCGTGCTCAAGCATTTGGATTAGTTTTGATCAATTTGTTATTGTTCCCGCAAAGGCATGGAAAGGTCACTTTCTCAACTATCAACATGATTCAGAACCTCTTTTGGGAGTCAACTGAAAGACACCCACTTTGGTACCGGTTATCATAGCTGACATTTTCACTACCTTACTAAATATCAAAAGAAAAAGGGGTTCTTCTATGCATCAAATTTAATACTTCAAATATGGGTAATGGAGCATCTAGCGAAAAGGACGCTCAAACCCTTGGGATGTTGTCTCCCAACAGAGAATTGGATTGAATCACACCGAGAAAGGGTCAAAATGTATTACCGAATGACATCTCCAAGTCAGTTTATTTAAGAGTTTGATAATTTGACACCGGATAAAGTACAATGAATTTTGGATTGGACAAAAGTTAGGTATTCGACATTCAAAACTACTCAACATAGTTTTATTCCTCTGGCAGGCACCAATGGATTGGTTTCATATATTCCACAACAAGTCATGAGGCAATTTGGCTATCCACAAAGAGTTTCGATGATACAAGAAATTGAGAATATCAGATTCAACACAATTGCTGAGAGTCGAAGCATGGCACTAGAAGTTTGGGGGAATTTTCATGATTTAGAAAACCTGTACTTGGATCAAGTGAACAAATTAAAACCTAATATCATTTCAGAATATGATAAATGGATCAAGCTGAAAGTGGAACGAGAAAGAAGGAAGTCACAATCTTCTCCCACCAGTCTTGAAGAGCAAATACAGAAGTTAAGGAAGGAGTTAGAGAATTATTAATTGCAAAATTTAATGACCGATCATGCTTTGAAAGATGTCAGATCGTAATTAAAGAAAGAGACAAGAAAAATTGAAAAGTTAGAGAGAGCATTAGATGCATTTGATAAAATTCGAAAAGAAATTTGAAAATTTAGTGTAGGAATCTCTAGGGAGTCTCAACATATTAGTTTAGCAAGGTATGGAAATTTTTAAAAATAGTCAGCTAAACCATCAATGTAACTGTAAAGAATGATTAAATTTATCAATGTTTTATGAGATTTTCTATTCTGATTTTTACATTCACCTACAAATTTGATATTGAAATTTTACCTCGAAGGAGTTGCATCATATTAGACCAATCCTTGGCATAAAAAGAGTTTCTCTATAGGACATGCATCTAAAATTATTCAAATATTTACTAATCCATGTCTTTTTCTTTTTTTTTTCTTTTGAACAAATTACAGCAGTAGAAAATGTACTTCTGAGCCGATTTCTTTTCCTTATTTTTAGGTACTTGCAAACATAGCTACCTTAGGAGCCCCATCATTACGCGGTCCCATAGCAAAGTCTTGAGAAATCGTGAAAAAATGAGTTTTCATCCGTAGCTGTCGGACAAATCTGCAATAATTCCATCATTAGACGCTGCAAATCTGAGGGTTCAATCGACTGAAATGTTGAATAGATTCAATGAGTTAAGTGCAGCAATGGCAGCGCAAAAGCGCATGATCAATCAATTGTTCTCAAACAACACTAGCAGTGTCCAAAATGACCATATACTCATTGACGATAATCAACATTAGTTAGAAAACTAACCACCTCACATGTCACATAGTCAAATCACTTTTGTCCCACCTTTTATAAGTCCACTTGGAGGTGCCTTTACTTACCTCATCCCCAGTTTATCACATACATATCAAAATAATATTTTTGTCAACCCAACTAACAATCAAATTTCTCAAAATTACCCACAAATCAACTTGAATATCCCATCTAACTCTCAAAGATCCCATCATCCCATCATAGAGTCATTCATGTTGGATACTACCTTTCAAGGAAGGGCAGAAATAGACGAACACTCTACTTCAATTAATAAGAATTTACTGAAAAGATTGGATCGATTTGATGAATTCATGAAAAGAAGTCAGAGATTGAAGCATGGAAGCTTGGACTATGATGAACTGTGTCTCTTTCCGGATATGTAGTTGTCTCTAAGTTTTAAAACTCCTAAATGTAGTAAGTATAATGGAACTGAAAATCTCAAAATACATCTCTAAATGTTTGTGAACAAGTTAGGGAAGCTAGTGGATGATGAAAACCTACCGGTGCTTTTGTTTCCTGAAAGTTTGGAGGGCGACGCTTTGGACTGGTATTCCAATTTAAAGATTGAAGAGATGAAAACTTAGATGGATTTGTCTACAACTTTTGTGAGGCAATATGAGTACAACTGTGAACTTGAGCCGACAAGAACAACGCTCGAAGGAACTATGAGAAAATCATCAGAAGATCATAAGACATATGCTAAACGTTGAAAGAAATTGATTGTCAAGGTTGAACCCCCTATGACTGAGGAGGAGATTATCCACACATTCATTAAAGCACATGACCCACTTTACTTTGAAGAGATTTTTCGTATGACTAGGTATTCAATTGCTGCTATTGTCAACAAATTTGAAGAATTTGATAAGTTTGTCAAAGAAGAAAACATAGTTAACATGTCAACGTTAAAAATGCAATTGGAAGCCCTACAGAGCCAAAATAATCCTGGAAAGAAGCCTCAATTCAAGAAAAAATGAGAGACTACCTTTGTATGTGATCAGGGCCCCTCAACTAGATCCAGATTTTAAAATCACCCCACCTACTCATCTCCCTATCCATACTATCCAAATCCCCAACCTGTTTATCACACTACCATCAACCATTCTCGCCCCCAACCAAACTATCAAGCACACCTGCATTACCTTTTTAGATTTTTTGAACTAAACTGGCAAATTCGACCCCAACCCTCTTATAATCCAAGGCCTACTCTATCAAATAACCAAATCTATAACCATGCTCAAACTAGTAGATCCCAAATCCAAAACGAGTTTCAAACCTTCACTAATTTAAGCTGCTTTTCCGATCAATTGTATGAACAACTTAAAGCTACTAGCAAAGTCAGCATTGTGCCTCCTAAAATATAGCTTAGCAGTGTTCCTATCGGTTATGATTCTCAAATCATTTGCGCCTATCATTCTAGGAGTTCTGGTTACTCTACTATCAATTGTTGGGCATTGAAACACAAAATTCAAGACATGATTGATGCCGAAAATATAGTTTTGAGGAGGAGAGGTGAATAAGAGACAAATGTCAGCAAGAATCCTCTTGCTCAACATAAGAGCACTGTGAGGGCTATTACCACTGACCAGAAGTTTGAAAAACCTGCCCAATATATTATAGACGAGAATGATGTAATTCAAATAATTGAGAAGTCATTTATATTGGAAGATGAACTTTTCGAAACTAGTGAAAATCCTTTCATCCTAGACTTGTCGGAACTTGTGATACTTGAATTTTTTGAACAATCACTTGTTCACAACTTACAAGAAGTACCATGGGATTATAATGAACCTACCCTAGTGATTGGGAATGTAGGGGTGTCAACGGTGGAGGTGGCTGCCGTCACTGGATTTGAAAAAATCGTGGATAATTCTGAAGTTTCTGTCCAACCAAAGGTGAAGAAGAATGCTTTACCGTTGAAGCCATCGGTGATTGAGGAGAATGCACTGAATTTTCTCAAGTTACTGACGAGGAGCGAGTACAAGGCCATAGAACAATTGGACAAAATATCTGCCCAAGTCTCTATGCTGGACTTACTTTTAACTTTCAAATTACATAGGGAGACACTGTTTAGAGTTTTGAATGAGACTCAAATACTAAGAAATATTTCAATCGATAAATTCGCTAACAATATGGAGAATGTTTTGGTTTTCAACTACATAACTTTTTCTGATGAGGATCTGACTTTGAAGGGGATCAAGCATAATAAGGCGTTGTATATTTTAATATGGTATAATAGAAAGTTGGTGTCCAGAGTTCTGGTAGATAATGGATTTGTTTTGAATATTTGCCCCTGAAATACTCTTACAAAGCTTGGATTTCTTGATGCCAGATTGCGATCATCTGCGACAATGGTGAGAGGATTTGATGGTGTAATAAGGGAATCAATGGGTAAGGTTGATTTGGTGTTGGAAATAGGACCTGCCAAATTTCAAGTGGTTTGCCAAGTTATGGACTCTTCAAGTGTTTACAACATCCTATTTGGATGACCTTGGATCTACACTTCTAGTGTTGTTCTATCTTCTCTCTATCAAAAGGTGAAATTCATTATGAATGATCAACTAATCAATGTGTTCACTGAAGATGATTACACAATGATCGTCAATTCTGCATCAAATGAGGAGAATAGTAAAAAAACTTTAGTTTCTTCTCATCATATTGCTGACATTGTTTCAGTAGGGTGGATGTCTAAAGAAAATTCATTGATGAAAATGGGTTTACTGGAAGCTAGTGCCATGATGGCCAAGAAAATGATCCGAGAAGGGTATGAAATAGGTAAAGGTTTGGGGCAGAATCTGCAAGGTATCTTGGAACCGATAGAGATTTTGAGGAAGAAAGATACATTTGGATTGGAATTTCAACCAACCACTAAGGATAAAAATGAGATGCAAGCTGGTAAGAAAGTGAACAAGGAAGAAAAGCAGATCGTCATGAGGAGAACCCGATTGAGGAGATTGAAGTGGGTCTATCTCAACTGTTCATTGGAGCCACTTGCGAGAAAGAGCCGCTAGAAGATATGGAGTTCCAATAGTCCCTGAAAGAGCTATATAAAATTGGACTACCGACTATCTTCCCTCTCGAAAGGAATTTTTATGGATAAAAATAAAATCATTTGAATCTTCAAATATCACCATTTTGTAATTCAATAATTGCAAACTCGATATATTTCACAAATTTAAAATTATAGAATTCGAAATTCAAAGTGAGAGTGATAGCGAGTAGGAACCAGTCTTTTTTAAAGATTCTTGAACAATATGAAGAGAAATCCAAACCGAATTTAGTAGAGATAGAAATCATTAACATTGGCACTAAAGCGGAGGTTAAAGAAATTAAAATTAGTGTACATTTGAATAAGAAGTAGAGAAAAGAGATGATCAAATTCTTAACTATATTCCAAGACATATTTGCATGGTCGTATGATGATATGCCTAGGATTTCAATAGATATAGTGGTACACAGACAGCCAACTAACCCAAAATTTTCACTAGTAAAGCAAAAATCGTACAAATTTAAACCAAATGTAAGTCTCAAAATTAAGGAGCAGATCGATAAACAGTTCAATGCCAGAATTACCATAGTACCTCATTATTGCATTTGGCTTTCAAATCCCATACCTGTTTCGAAGAAGAGTGGAGAAGTGCAGGTCTGTGTTGATTATAGGGATTTCAATAAAGTCAATCCAAAGGATGATTTTGCTCTACCTAATATTCACATTCTTTTAGATAACACTGCTGGACATGAAATTGAATCTTTTGATGATTATTTCACTAGATATCATCAGATTTTGATAGCAGAAGAAGACAGAGAGAAGACTGGTTTCATCATTTCATGGGGAACATTCTGCTATCAGATAATGTTGTTCGGGTTGAAAAATACTGGAGTCACTTATCAATGAACCATAATCACTTTGTTCCATGATATGATTCACAAGGAGATGGAGGTTTAAGTGGGCAATATTATCATTAAATCCAAGAAAGTTGAAGACCATCTGGTTGATTTAAAGAAATTATCTAAAAGGTTGAGAAGATACAGTTTAAAGTTGAATCTTACAAAATGTGCTTTTAAAACTTTCGTCAGTAAATTGTTAGAGTTTATTGTCAGTAAGAAGGGAATGGAGATTGATCCTACAAAGATCAAGGTAATCAATTTTTCGAGAGATGTCCATACCAATAACTCAGAAAGATGTGAAAATTTTCCTAGGAAATATCAATTTTATCGACAGGTTCATTACTCAGTTGATGTCTACATGTGAGACTTTGTTCAAACTATTAAAGAAAAACGCGCCAATGCACTAGAATGAAAAATGTCAATAGGCTTTTGATAAAATTAAGGATTATTTGTTGAACCCTCCAGTTTTAGTGCAACCCAAGCCAGGTCGACTTCTAATTATGTATCTGTCCATGCTGGATGAGGTTGTGAGATGTGTTTTGGGACAATATGATGATTCGAAAAAAAAAGAGCAAACCATCTATTACCTTAGTAAGAAGTTCACCACATATGGGACCAATTATTCATTTCTTAAGAGGAGTTGTTGTGCTTTAGTTTGGGCAGTTCAGAAGTTGAGGCACTACTTGCTCATTTACATTACTTATCTCATTTTTCGTTCCGACCCTCTGAAATATTTGTTGAAAATGTCGATGTCAACAGTACATATGGTGAAATGGCAGATGATCTTTTTGAAATTTGATATTATTTTTACTATGCAAAAGGTAATTAAGTGGCAAGCCATAACGGATCATTTGGCCGAAAATTTGAGAGAAGATGATTACCAGCCATTGTATACATATTTTTTTGATGATGAGATTTTATCCATTTATGTATCGAAGACTATGAATGAACAATACCTTGGCTGGAGGCTGTTCTTTGATGGTGCTTCAAACTTTTTTGGGACCGAAATCGGAGCTGTTCTAGTGTCACCTGAGAGAAACCATTACCCGGCCGCTGCTAAATTGCGATTTTCTTGCACCAATAATATGGTTGAGTATGAAACTTGTATTTTTTGACTGAAAATGGCATTGAAAATAAAGATTTATGATTTAATAGTGTTTAGTGATTTTGACCTACTTGTGCATCAAACACTTAAGCAATGGGTGACTCGAGATTTAAAAATTATGCCATATCATTATTGTCTGCTCAGCTTGGCTGATAAGTTTAAAAATTTGAAATTCAGGCATATTCCTTGCACTCGCAATGTTTTTACTGATGTTCTGGCCACCTTATCTTCCATGATTCGACATCCGAATGAGCTGGTAATTGAGCCTATACAAATTCAACTTCAAAAAAAAATCGGCGCATTGTCTAGTTGCGGAAAATGCGTCTGATAGTCGTCCCTGGTATAATGATATCAAAGAATTTATAAAGACAAGATCTTACCCTCCGCCTGTTGATTCGGTTGCTAAAAGTTTTTTGCGCAGAATGGCATCAAAATTCTTCTTAAGTGGAGAAGTGTTATATAAAAAAAATATCATATTTGGACCTTCTGAGATGCATTAATAGAGATGAAGCTGATTATATGATGAAAGAAGTACACAATGGTGTATGCAAACCATACTTGAATGGACGCTTATTGGCAAAAAAGATCATGAGAACGGGCTATTTTTGGCTCACTATCGAGCATGACTGTGTAGATTTTATCAAAAAATGTGCTAAGTGTCAAATATATGCTGATGTCATACATGCTCTTTCTACAGAATTACATAGTATGACTGCTCGTTGGCCATACTCAATGTGAAAAATGGATGTGATTAAAGCTATTGATCCCCCAATCTTGAATGGGCATCGATTTATCTTGATGGCGATTGAGTATTTTATCAAATAGGTTGAAACAACTTCTTACAAGAATGTAACCAAGAAAGTAGTGGCCAATTTTCTGAGAGACCACATTATTTATCGTTTTGGATGTAGGAAATATTGATTACTAACAATGTGAGAAACTTTAATAATGACATGATAGATGAATTATGTGAACAATTCAAGATCAAGTACTAAAATTCTACTATTAATAGGGCTCAGATTAATGGAGCTGTGGAAGCCGTGAAAAAAACGTGAAGAAGATCATTTGCAAGATGAGAGAAAGATACCGAGATTGGCACAAAAAGCTACCTTATGTATTATTAACTTATCGGACTGCAATCAGGACTTTTATTGGGGTAACGTCTTACTCTCTTATGTATGGAATGTAAATTGTATTACCCCCAGAAGTTGAGATCCTATCATTGTGCATTTTAATGAAAATTTAGTTGGAGGAAGCTAAATGGATTAAGCAGTGACATGAGTAGCTATTTCTGATTGATGAAAAGCGATTAAATACTGTTTGTCATGGACAATGCTATCAAAGGCAAATGACTCATGCTTACAACACAGATCAAATCTCACCTATTTGAAGAAGGGGATAAGGTACCGAAATGAATTCTTCCTATTCAAGATGAAGCCAAAGGAAAATATGTCTCAAATTAGCAGGGACATTTCATTGTTAAGAAGGTATTGCCCTGAGGAGCACTCATTCTCATGAAAATGGACGGACGGATTTTCCCTCAGCCAATTAATTCAGATATGTGCAAGAAATTTTCATCTGATTATATAAGTTTTCTTTTTGAGATACTGCTTAGGGTGGATTAAAAGGTGGGCCATCTTCTTTTCCCTTTAAACATTTTACCCATAGTTTTTTCTTTTGAACCTCCAAAATGATCTGCTTCTTCGTTTGATAGCCCCCTAAAGATCACAAACCCTACACTGCGACAGGTTTTGTTTTTCGTTTGTTGTAAAAAAAGTAAAGTGAAAGTACACAGAAAACAAAGGAAGAACATGAAAAAACCCAATCAAAATTCAAACTAGGGCAATTTTTAACTTTATAGCCCTATATTGGGACAAATTTTATAGAATGCGGTCCTTAGATTTTTAAAACGCCTCAAAAGATCTACTTTCGAGTCTTAACATTTTTAACATCTCACCTAACTCTGTTACAAAAGTCAAAAAACTCCCGACTTCCATCCTTGATAGTATTTCTAAAAGAAAATTTCTTAATCAAATGACAAATGATGTAAATACACTTTCACCAATTTTTGCAAAGGAAGTATTTTCTCATTGATGCCATCAATCGTGAAACATATTTTGGAATTGATAAAAGCCATTGTTAAAAACTGTTTATTAGGTAAAAACTCAAAAGGACGCCTTTTTCAAAAAAAGAAGAAGAAAAAGCAAAAAAGAAAAAGCAAAAAATAATAATGAAAATAATAAAGGAAAAGAAAATAAATGGAGAGGGACAATCTTAGTGAAAACCCGAAAAAAGGCACTAAGGTAGGGTTTTGAAGTACAAAAAGAGCCATGAATGGAAAATAGATGGTCAATTGTTGAATAACTGGTGACTATGTTCGTTTGGATTTTTCTTCAAATTTGTATATGAGTCTCCAAGTCACTTTTCGTAAACTTGATAAGAGTTATTTTCTCGTTGAAAATCATTTTTACTCTATTTTTGTGTTGTTGCATGCAATAATCTTGTTTAAAACTTTTGCGTGCTTTCTATTGAATTCGGCCAAGAGACAATCCCCGTAATTTATTGTAAGGAGCGTATATCTATGTATATCTCATGGTGTAAAAAAGGTTGGCTGAGTACAAATATTAACAAATCAGGAGCGAGTTGCACAACATTTCTAAACCGCACAGTTCCTCGACATCAAAAGGCTCATGTTTACATGATTTTCAAGGCTTGAGGGACTGCACGGAGGTGGCATTATATTTCATCGCTGTTGTTTTCATTTTCTTTTGTAAGATTGGATTGCGCATGCTTTCTTGAATGAAGAGAAAGAACAACACTTATTTAGCTGAATCCAATCTACACTAAGGCAAATTTTCGTAGAGCTGATATCTGATTTTATAAGTGAGTTCAATATTTGTTT